TAGTTTTGCTTCACAGAATTCTGCGTCCTATTGAGTTTCCGGTTACGTAGTACACGACCACGTTCAGGAACTCTTTGTTTTTTTTAGATACATCACGTAATGACAAACTTTTGGCAGCATTTACATTGGTTGCCTGCATATTTTGGTGAGGAAAAATCGCTATCGCAGTAGTACAGTCAAGACATACCACAAAGGATCAGAGCTAAAGCAGCATTATTAACCAAAAGTGTATTGCATTGATCACCAGCATGTTCGTAAAATAAAATACATCAGGAATAAAGATGACAACCAAGCCGCATGGACACTTATAACAAACATGAACGATAAAGTGGCAACACAAATGAAAGAGAGAAGATGAATCTGCCCTTCGCAATCGTCAACTTAAAATAAAACTTCAAATATACAACAGACCTCTGTGCATTAAAAGAACACGAATACACTCGCTTTGTCGTCGACACATAATGGGAACATCCTGGCGGCCCAGCCAAACAGCGCGCCCGCCTTCGAGTAGGAAATAGCAGCGGCCGCAGAAGTGGCCAACAGATAACTACCACATTGTTCGTCACGCCACCTGCACTGAAACGTAACAGCTATTTAATCGTGAAATGTAGCTATCCATCCAAAAATGCTGCACTACACCAGCACCACCGCACAGTTAGCAGATAGGTACGGATCGCAGGTCCTGGTCTCTGTCTCTTCCGAGTAGGATCTCCGGACCGGTCACCAGCGCCACCATCTCCGCGCGGTAGCTAAAGCACAGCTCTCCGGCCGGGGCCCGCAGTTCCTCGGCCTCTTCGTCCAGCCTTGTCCTTGTTTTGACGTGAGTGAATGTGCAAATGTTTTGAATGATTAGATCAGCAGCCGCGGATACGGATTCTGAGCAGTAATCGCCACGCACTTTGTATGTGGATCGCTCTTAAATGTAAATACAAATACAAATACAAATACAGCCAGACCAGCACGGCTCCCGCCCAGCACCTGAAGACTCCGCCCTCCGCAGATCCGTCCGTCCAAAGCCGGACAGCACACAGGGGCAGGAACGCGAGGTGCAGCGTAGCCACGCTTTCCCTTTCCGCCGCCGTGGCCCCAGCCCGGATCGGGCACACGTCCAACCGGAAGGTGACGCCAGCCGTCTGTTGACACGGTGGGATTCTCGCTCTCGCCCAGGCCTGGCGGCCTCGCAATCTCCAGCCTCGGACCGAAGACAGGCGCGCCGGTGCCGAGGCCTTGGCGGTCGCGCGCAGGGGGTCCCCTGATGGCAGAGCCAGCGCCCTCCCCAGCAGCCTGGCAGCCAGCGTCCAGCTTCTCTCCTCCATCGGAGAAAGTCGGGCTTCCGCCATTAGTGCGTGGCACGGTGTTGAGCGCGGACACCGGTGATGATACGGCCGCCTCTCGCAGTCCTCGCTCCAGAAGATTCACGTGCGAGGGGGCGGCCGCCGGCAGCCACGCGACGGCAGCGTGTTCGAGCACCCCTCGGACGTAACCGATTGGCCACCGTACTAAGGGCACCCTCGTCCAGGCCCCAGCTATTCAACCAGGTCGACGGCGCCGTAGCCGTCACTCGAGCCACGCCACAGAGCTCACGCCTCAAAGCGGTTGGCTCTCCGGTCCTCGGCATCCGGCATCCGCAGTGATTTGGCGTAGCCAGGACAGGTGAGATGCCGGCCTCAGTCATAACCGGAAAGCCTGTAAAAAAAAACAATATGTGATTGACAAATGGAAATATATTGTAAGCATAGAGTTGATAAATCATGACGCACACTGCATTGTGACAGTAGATACTTTAGTGCGATTGGCAGAGGAGGGACTTATTGTAAGAAAACAATGAGCAATTGAGGCATTGATTTGGTTCTGTAGGTAGCTACCTACCCTTCACATATGAATGTGGATGATTTGTACCATTAAGAAAAACCATAGGCGTAGGAGCGGAGGGGGGGGGACATGCCCCCACTTTTCAGCTATGCTAATTTTTAAAGTAAAATATTTATTTTCATTTAAATTCAAAACTAAGAGCATGAAATCGTTCGGCAAGGTGAGATGAGCACGAAACTGCAAGGAATTTGTTCATAGGGGTATTACGGTTCCCACAAAGTGACATTGAAGTTCTCTGCCCCCCCCCCCCAAACTTTACGTGAGGTTCCTGCGCCCATGGAAAAAAACACATTGCATTATGTGCATCAACACTTAACCCTTGCACGAGGGCCACAAAGCCCACTATAAAGCCCACAAGACACCATCTGAAATCAAAGCATGACAAATGATAGCATGTAGGCACCTGACGGCTGACCTACTACATATAACCTACTGAACAAAACATACCACATATATCAATATGTATGTGCAGATAAAGTATGAATGCTAGGTTGATACCAAGGCTGTTTAGTAGGTTGTAGGTATGCTGAAAGGATGAAAGATGGGTATTTTTTCAAAAAAATATCTGATCTACAGTTCATATGAACATGCAACATGGGGTTAGGTAAGGTTTGATTTTTGTTTTGTACCAGACTGGAAATAATAAACGTTATGCCTTATATGTCCGGCATAGTGGCGGGATTGCGCCAAAAATTTCAGCGCATGTCCGGCGTAGGTAACTTCGCATGCGCCGAATTTGGCGCATGGCGGCAGACGCCATAGCCTTGATATAGCCTTGATCGGTAGATGTGCACATGTGCTTTATATAAAAAGGGTTTAATTTTTGCACAAATAGGTACCTAATTTTTGGCGCAAATTACACAGAAATTTCAGTGTCTGGGTACCCACCTTCCTGTCAAGTTGATACTTGACACACCATCCTGCTATCTGAGGCAGCCCAGGAACCAGCTCAGGCAATTACAATGAAAGTCAACAGTCGTGCGGGAATTACACCACTCCCCATTAAAATCTGATATCAAGTAATTAGTTAATGACGATAATCCCGCCACCACAAATCTTATAAAACACATCAACATTGACCTTTGATATTCCGAAAAGAAATACCCATAATGATTTAAAGCGAACGTGTTCTTACGCAGCTGTGACATAAGCTGCGCATACGAAAAACACCAGCTAGACCAATTGATGGCGAATAAACCTGTTGATGAAGAAATACTTGTCTCCCATTGGTCTGTGAACACAATCTGCAGGAAACGCAGCTTAAACTACAGTAAAATTTTGCAGGAAATTCTGCAGAAAGTAAGAAAAATGCAATTTAAACATATTTAGCCAATGAGTCTGGCCAATCTGTTGATATATTCCGATAGATATTAAGCACGATCAGTCATTTTGAAAGAATTACGGTCCGACTCTCTTTATTTTTAAAGCAATGACGCATAATATGATTATTGAAAAATTGACAAATATATTTTCTTGGAGGGAAAAGTGGGACTAGCGTTAAGTTAAAAATCAAAATTAATACACTGATCGAGACCTCGCTTTCAAAAGTATATATCAGTGCATTTTCGCATCGAATCTCTCTCAATCATGACCAAACTTGAGCAAAAACAGCAAGATTGCCTGTTTTGTCAATTCACACATTTTCATATTTGGGGGCAATTTTAAAGTTGATGGCCAATGTTTTCAAAGTCAACATTTCCACAGGAAAAAAATACAGCTATTTTTCTTCCAAATTCATTCATTTGTAGAGTCCGACTCTCTCTTGTTTTCTCGCAGTTTCCGTTGTGATTTGAGAGAAACGATCATGTGTATCATAAGCGTTTGGCTCACTTCAAGACGGCAGAATTTGCACTTGCATTTTCTGCCGTGTGGAAGACCAGAGGGAGTCAACTAATTTATGACAGAATGTGCTTAAAAAATGACTGGTGAATAATATCTTTTGTCAGTGCCTGACAAATATTTATATTTTAAACCACGCTCTTCAGCTGTCAAGTGAGCTCCAAATGGCCTAAATTGTCAGCTGTTTATCATCCTAGGTCAGCTCAAGGTCACAGACGTCAGCTGAAGAAAGTGGTGACCATTGGCCCTGTGTTGAGCGGACAAACCGGTGTTACCTAGTATTCTATGTACCGTGGGTGGAGCGAGGCGGTGGAGGTGGCAGTGGTCTGAGTGTGTCCGAGTAAGGAGGTGTGTGCTGCTTTATTTGGAGGTTGTTTGTTTGCTGATAATTACTGTACGGGTACATACGTAGAAAAGTGGTTGGATATGTCTGGAGTAATTTTAGTTTGATAGCGAAACCTGGGCCCGGTTTTGCCACTTGCGTAGCCGCGGAGTGCTTGTAAAAATACTACGAAAACTCTTGAAATGCAGCAGTGGAATTCTATGGATTTCGCAGGGTTACTTTATCCCTATAAGTTGTTAATAACATCTGCTCGTCATCTGCAATCAGGCACCCACGGGCCACGGTCCACGGAAATTAATGTTCAAACCTCGTATTGCTCCGTTATATTCCCTAAACATTTGCCTCTAGAGTACCTATTTCCTGATCAATGGCTACAGTATTGCAATGTCATCCCGGCGTTTTCTTTAAATCCCAGCCATTCCAGAATGCCATCCAGCTGACTGCCTATGGGGGTAACGTCTTTCTTTTCGGGGGTCATTCACTCGGAACGGACCAGTCTCGCCTTTCTTAGTACGATTGGTGTGTCGCCAATACGTAACGGGTCCATTGAGACTGCAGTTATCACTGGTGACAAACGTCTACGAAAAGTGACGGTGTGGTCTGTGAAGTTCGGATGTTGTGAGGCGGGGGTGTCCCATGTTTGCTCGGCCCCATACCCTATTTTTTGTGGCTTCGTTTTGTTAGACTCGCATTCGATGTCGGTATAGGCATACCTCATGTTATCAATGTCAACCTAGCAGCGTTGTTGTGCCTCGCACCCTCCGTGTGCCTGACATTTGCCTGCACCCCGCACCCGCCACTCTGCACCCGGTATTCCGCCACGTGCACCCAGACGGGTCGCGCGGCAGGCGTGACCGACCGCCCCGCCCCCTAGCCCCTCCCTCCCCTCCCTCCCACCGGCCAGTGTCCAGCGCCCCCCACCTGACAGTTCACTATTCCCCCACAGACGGCGCTAGTGTCGCTCACCATGGCCTCCAATGGGTTCGAGACGGAGCACGCGGCCAGTGCCGGCCGCGATCCGCCCGAGGAGGAGGAAATGCTAGCGGAGGAGCGCGACCTCGCAGAGGACGCCCAGTGGAAGCGCATCCAGCAGAATACCTTCACTCGCTGGGCCAATGAGCACCTGAAGAATGCCAGCAAGCACATCTACTCGCTCGAAACGGATCTGGAGGATGGACTCATTCTCATCGCACTCATCGAGGTGCTCAGTGGCAAGAAGATGCCCAAGCACAGCAAGAGGCCCACCTTCCGTTCGCAGAAGCTGGAGAACGTGTCGGTGGCACTCAAATTCCTCGAGAGAGACGAGAACATCAAGATCGTCAATATCGGTGAGTGTTGAGGGGCGGGGAGGGTGGGGTGTTTATTCCCTGAGGGAAGGGGAGGGCGAGTGTCTGCTGTGTGTGTGGTCACTTTAGGGGATGGGGAATGAAACCGTGCGCGGTGTTAGGTTTTATTGACGCCAGAATGTTTTCCGTTTCCGTTATGGTTTCGCGCGCCGCGGGATTATTTTTGAATTCTGGAATGCCGCTAAGCATACCACGCAAGGCTGGGCGCATACATTAGCACCTAGCACAGACGTGATACCCGGATCAGCTGATTTACATAGTAATCCTCTAATGCGCTCAGGGTACCATGGCAAAGTTGCTAAAAACGAAAGTAAAACACACAACATCGTCTCTAAGCCCAACCGCTACATTTCCACACTCGGACATTGTTTGCATGAGACATCACCATCGGGCTTTCCCGTGTCAATAGCCAATCGTCTATCACCCATCAACTGATCAGTAACATAAGCACTAACGGCACATGGACCGGTGTCTAGCCAGTCGCCCAGTGCGGCGCTGGACACTCGAGTTTCCCGTTCCTCGACCGGTGAGCTCACTAGAAATATCGACGATTACCATCGCTCGGCTGCACCGGAACGACCGGCCCTGCGGTCGGGACAATCGCCGGGTCAAATCCCCATTGGTCCGCGCTGTCACTTATCACAGGCTATCACTAATGCACCAAGAATCATCTCGGGGTGGTAGGAATCCATACATTATACAACCACTAATTTGTCAATGTTTTAGCGGTGTGAACAGGGCCAAAGACCCCGTGTCTGTCAACACTCGAGTCCTGTTTTCCGGCATGTTTGCTGTGTGTCTACTGTTTCAACGGGCGCTGCCACGCCCGCCACCGTCTGTCTGTTGAACCAATTACGTCACTCTGACGTCATCAAATCACAGCTACTGGAAGTCGCGGTTGGTAGACCGATGAGCTGTGCTGACCGGTGAAAATCCGTGGGTCTAAGAGAGCGGGATTTGATCGTGCTGGATTGGTGGAGCCGGAATGGCGAGCATTAGCTGCCTGTGGCTAAAGTAGCGAACAAGTCGTGGTATGAAGTCATTCGACATACCTGACCATGACGTCATCCAGCGTGCAGATCCGATGACGTCATAATCGTTCACCGGCATGTGGGTGGATCGATGGTGAAGGCTAGTCGGTCGTTAGCCGATGGGTGGCTCCCTTTTGTCATTAGGTATAGTGCTGACGTCATGATTCCCTGTTGTCATGACAGTTCATTGTCTGGGTGATATTGCCTGATTTTTTTTTTCTGAGAAGATATCAGCCTGCATGGACCCATGGTATCTCCCGCTATAAGAGAGTAACCTAGCCTGAGACTTGACAAGAAATCGTGCCTCTGTGGTTAGGTTATCTCGATCGTGTGTCGCTCACTGTTGGTGATAAACGCTGCTACCATTCCTTTTTCGAATGGAGTTACTACATTTTTTTTCTCAAATGTATCATGCGAGCTATTTTCAGTTGAGTAAATCCTTTTTTTGTTCTCTTTTAATGATAGTTCAGTTTTAACCTAATTTTTGGCTCGTCTCGACTTCCGATGAATGCAGACATTTGACGGTGCAGACCGTTATATTTTTGGAAAGGGAACTGTTGCTGACAGCTGTTGAGGTCGAAAGTCGCGACATCACCTGCGTTGCTTCCCCTCCCGTATCTGCCGTATAGCAGATCCGGCCACAGCTGTTCGCGCACCTGTCATACATATATGACGTGCTGAGACCGCTGCGCACTTTCCGAAAATTATACGCTTCAAAGGGTGCGTACTGCGTATAGTAAGTTTGGTCAAGTCAGGACTCAGGGGCTTGACTGGCTATTGCTGTATGATTAAAATTGTTTTGCCTCGTGGTCGTTTTAACCAGGCTCAACATGTGCGCCTAGTTTTCATTCCGATTGTACCTTTTTATATCGTTTATAAAACTGAAAACAACGCTTTTGCATCTACATTTGCCTTGCCAAATTTAAATTTTGTGCTAACTATTTCACCTCGCACGGCCGAAAATAACGCCTTCCGTGGCAGGTGCTCTCCGTAGTCCGTAACCTGCAATTAACATGCCGCATTTAAACGTTTACCCCGATCAGAATTCAACACCACCTCTTTACCGAAGATGATGCTGCATTCTTGGCGTTCCCCATACAGCTGATTCTGCGAACTCTGTTCATCTAACCCTTCACCCCTCCTGTTGCTGGTTGAAATTGACCCGCTTCCGGTCAAATATCCACTCGATCCCTTGCCGTGACTGCGTTCCGTGTCGCCGTGCCGTTCCGTTCCGTGCCGTCACTGCTGCGCTGTGATACTGCTCCAAATATCACCTCTGTTGTGTCCCTCATACGTGACCTCTCAGTCCACTCGGAGCAGCTGGAATGTATCTGTCGCCCGGGATGTTGTCTGTCCTGCCGGGAACGTATGTGTGATCACGTTCCTCACCCTCCATCACGTCCTCTCTAGGTGTCCACGGCACGTGTGGACTGGACTTTACGCGAGGGCACGTAGATAGAGCTACCGTGTCACACTGAGGTGCAAATACTGTCGGTGGCGATGTTTGATTTGTAGACGGGTTGACATCATGTGGACAGGCGGATTAGAGCGTCTGTCTTGGCACGGATGTTCTGTCATCTGTGATAGATACCGTTCCTTGGACTTACCCTTCCTTGTCGCCTGTCTGTCATGATGTGTGCTGGGTACTTGTGCAGTTTGGAGCACTGATTTTGGCCGTTGTCTACTTGCTGTAACTAAGTGCCTCGTTTCTGTAACTATTCGCCATAAAGCCTCGTTGCTGGCACGCCCTCTAACATCAAATCATCAATAATAAGCGGAGAATTCCATAAATGTCCATGTCACGATGTCATATGCATGAAGACTGACGAAAGCTCGGATCGGTGTCAGTTTTCTCGGTAGCGGAAACCAAACATTGCGGATTCCGATCATGAATGCATTAGATTCCGTTCTCAGAGTGGATGCCGACATTAATGCGGGATGGAAATCTGATGCGGGTATTCACCGGAAGTTGATTGCTCGGTCCGTATAAACTATCGATCTCACTTTCAATGCTGGACGTGGGCTGGACGTCCATGTTTATCGTCCGATGGCTAAACTTTTTTTAGCGATCAGTCTGAGTCTTTCAAGTCCCTTGAAAGCTATATAGCCTCCAAACGGATGCGTGACAACGATTATCATCCATCCCTTTCTCTACAAAATCGCAGAAACACCGGAACTCTACCGAAGCTATTCGTCGTCCTAACACAACGAAACACCCGAACACGTGCTGTGCCGTGACCCCATTCAGCTCTGCCGCTAACGATTCGTCGCCAATCGATGCCTCGCTAATGCGGTATGAAATCGATACCTGAGCGGACGTGACGATCCAGGGCACTCCCGGGTGGTCGGTAAGACACGCGATACTACCGTCCAACGTCAGGTGATGTCGGCACACGTCACGGTGTCACGGCTCCTGATGTCGCGTCACGGTGGTGACGTGACACGTCAGGCAGTGTTGGGTGTCGTGTCACGTTTGTCTGTTGTCACCCGTGCCGGGAAGCCGTTGTGGACCTCGTCACTGCAGTCTGCAGTGACGGGCATGCACTGGTGGTCCAGTTACATGCAGTGCCGTTGGTGCCGGTGGCGATGGCCTGATGACGTCATCAGAGGGGAGTGATGTCACGCCGGGGTTCGTTGAGCTGCACCCTCGATCCGCCAGTCGTCACCTTTGTACTCGACCGGCGCGGCGGCGGTGGCAACGGACGTGCACCAGCCGCCCTCCGGCCCTCCACCGTCGTGCTGGCGTGTCCACTGTCCACCCCTCTCCCCTCCTCCTCTTTCCAGTCACCCTCCCCCTCTCTCCAGCCCGCCCGCTCTGCCACCGCCGCAACCGCAACCAACACCGTCCACTGCCGGGCACAGCAGCCGCCGCCGCCGCCCTGCTCCACGCGGACGGCGGCCACACTGCCACCTCTGGACAGGTGGGCGGTGCCCATAGTGACGTCACACGCACCCGTCGGTGACGTCACGATGGCGGGGCCAGCTCCGGCTCAAAGTAGCTCAATGACTGGACGGTCGGACAGTCGGCCCGACGCGGAGTGGACGGCGGGGTAGATGGGCCAGTCTGGACCGGGCTTTCACCCATCAGTGTCTTCCATGTCCCTTTTGTTAGTGACAAGCATGCTGCTAATACGTGCTCGTAAACACCTGTATACAGCGTTGTTTATAGCTACATAGCTGGTGAGTGGTGTATGATACAACTAAGCCCAATTTATTCTCCTCTCAACCTCTGCTGAAAGCCCAGTCGACCTTCGGTGACCTCCTCTCTGGCTCACCAACTCAGAAGTTCACGTGCCTCAAAATTGACCACCCGTTCCAGCAGGCCGTCTAAACGGTCATCCATGCCGACCACCCGCCTGTGGAACGACCTCCGGTCTATAGTCGCGGTATGTCTAATACCACATGGTCGCGGCACTAGCGGTGCTCGGCATTAGCTCTGGGGTCAGCGATCCAGAAGATTGCGACGCGCCTGACCGCACCGCGGTGGCGGGGAGGAGGTGGTTGCGGAGGCGGAGGGCGGGTGGCGGTGGACGGTGGACGTGGGACGGTGGACGATGGAAGTAGCGTTGACGATTGGCGGTTGCCATTGCCGTGACAGTAAGATGGCTGCGTTGGCAATCATGAAGAGGATCAGGCATGGACGGTCCGTTTTGGATGTTTGGTGAAAACCTGTCGAAGGTCATGTTCAAAAGCCACGACTACGAGGTACGAGCCCACCACTCTGCACTCGAAAAATCCAATTCGTATGACATCATCTCTTGAATTTTAGCACTGTACTGCCCTGTCTGATATGCGGCAGCTGCAGCCCTTTCTGTTAATCTGCTGTATTTTTGCACCGTGCACTACAAATGCTGCACTTCAGAGAGGTAGCACCGAGCAGGGTATATTGAGTGAAAGCACCGAGTGCAAAGTGTCGTGCACGTGCTTGCCCTGCACGGTCGCTCAGCTCTG